TTTATTTATTGAGTTGGGGTTGTAATCCAATTGGTCTCATTCAAAAACATTGAGTTTTGACTCCCCAAATACTCAAAACATTATATATGTGCATCTGAGAGTTTTTCAGTAGGTAAACCCTATTTTAAACAGCCATAACTCTCTAGATAATCATTCAAAATTATTGATTTTTCTTCTGGATGTTATTTTAATGAGTTACCTTTCAAATGCCACCAATTTCATTCAATATTGTGGTTATTTGAGGTTTTAAATACTCAAAACAAAGTGAACATGCAATCTGTCCGAATCTGACAGATTTGTATATGTATGTTCCAATGACCATATCTCTTTCAAAACTCGATGAAAAATGATGATTCTTTTTTTTAGAGTTAAATATATGGGTTATCTCTTGCATGCAAGTGGAATCATATGAAATTATGGAGTTTTTATCTCCAAACACCTAAAACACTATAGGTTTGCAAACTGTGAAACCACCAGTAGGTAACTCCTACTTTGTATGCTTATATCTCTCTACTTACTTGTTATTAGTGTATTATTCTTCTTCTAAAATGTTCTTTTATGAGTTAGGATTCATATGAATCCAGTTTCACTCAAAAATATGATGTTTTGAGGCATGAACCAATTTATTTAAATTAAGTGTGCAATCTGTCAACTAATGACAGATGTGTGCATGTGACTTTATGGTACCATATCTTCCTCTTAACTCATCCAAAATCAGTGATTATTAGTTTAAAAGTTTCATATAAGTGTTAGGTTTTCAATCCAACTTGATTTTCTGCAGAACACTTAGTAGAACTCTTTTAATGAGTATTTTACTAATGTGATGCAATCTACCATATCAGTTGTGATAGATTGTATTGCATAAATTATTTGAATCATTATTGCATGTCCAAAATACATGAAATTTGGTCAAGATGACTATAACTCAGTTCTATAGCCCATGTAAAAAGATAGGAAGTTATCTCATTTTAGAAGTCTCTTTAATCTAATCATTTTAAGTATCATAAGCTTCTGCCCAGCAATGAAATTTTGGGGTTTCTTGAATTTGTAAAATTTGATCTTTTTATTGGACTACAGCATTACTTCCGGTATAAATTAATATATTATCGAGCATATGGACATTATGTATATTTGGACTATAGATAATCAAGTTGGACATAAGTAGACATGTATGGACTTAGGACTTATTAAACCCCATAAGTAGTGTTAAGCCCATAAGTGATGGTTTTGGATATTCCTATTGATAGGGAATCGTTGAGCTATTGTGGTGATCGGATCGTATCTCTAAAATTTCGAAGCTCTACAAAAGTGTGAGTATTCACGGCCCCTCTTTTTGTCGTTTTTGCGTATTTGGGATGGAAATCATAATTAAAGAAATGTTTGATAGATTTATATYGATATATGAATCTTGTTGTGAGCAATTAAATGTATACACTATTGATGGTATGTTGAGTTTGAAAGTCCCCGTTTGTTTACACTACTATTAACTCATTTTGAGCTTATGATTCTTGTGGGTAGCGCTATTTGGTTGTCATACCCACCCTTTTGACTGACGAGTAGGGGTGCACTTGGTSATTAAAGTATGCTCTACACGTGTGACTCGAAGTAGTCACCGCTGAGGTAGTTCGTAAGAATGCTCTACCCATGTGGTTCGCTACCACCTCTGAGGTAGTTCGTGGGGCATTGAAAGTTGTTTAGGTTTAGTAGTGGCTCAACAATTTATATCATGTGTATGACGTTGCTTTTAAGATATTGCTCATAAACTTATAACTGGGATTTGCTGCATTTGAAATCATTTTGTGCATATAAAACTTGTGAACTCACCAACTCTTTGTAGTTGACACTCGATTTTAATATGCTTTTCAGGAAATAAGAAGGTAGTAGAAAAGTAGATAATCTTACGTTCTTGTTTGCATCCGCTTTGGGCAACATAAGCTGGATTATTGTTTAAGGAACTCCTTTTGTAACGAACTTATTTTTGTCAAAAATTTTGTTTCTGTTGAAATGTAATCGGTGAATGTAATTTTAAACTTTGTTTTTTTTTTTTTTTTGTGTTATGGCTATGAATGTATGGTTGGTGTTAAATATATCCTAGTGCGATGAACTCCTAACTGACGCGCCTCGTGTTTCCGCTTTAGCGGGGTGTGACAAAAGGGTTTATATTTATTGGTCTAGACAGTTCAAAGTTCTTCAACTTAATACTCAACAAATATGCCAATTTCAATTTTAGAAGATTTACCTAAACATAAAATCTTTATAACAATTCTACACAGGCATAAAAATTACCACGTACTAGGTAATCGTGTGAAGTAGCCACAAATACCAAGCACATAAAATCAGACAGTAAAAATGCATTTCTTTTTGCCCAAAAACACTAATGACGACCAATAAAAAATTACATACAACAAACCAGTCCAAATGGACCGTATTAATCCCAACATACAATAACTAACGTCTTAATTGTAAATCAATTCATGCACCAAAACAGTGTGAAACAAAATGTTTCCATATAAAACTTGAGGGAAAGCTATACAATTGAACGCTATCAAAAATTTCATTTCTAACAATAAAATTGCATAAAATAAAATTGTATATGCAAAAACACACAATAAAACAAGCTTATGTGTTTCAAAATTCACCCTTGAGTCACAAAACAACATGAAATAAAATTCCAAGAAAACTTTGCATGCTTACTGGGTAAGTCTTACCGATAGGAGTCAACACTATAATTTATTTTACCGAGTATGATTGTGGTACATCGAAATGTTATTGTAGGCAACAATTTACCTGGTAATATCCGTCACTCTCACTTATTAGATAAGACTCTACTTCCTTATCATCGCTCTTACCGGGTAAGATTATCGACCCTTGTCATGTTCATCCGGTGAGAAAAATTACCTGATAAGCACTTACCGGTTAAGTGTTAAGTAAACAGCCCTAAATGTGCCCTTGTGGTAGAAATGAGCAAGGACCGGATCAAAAATTTAGGACTAAATTCGGACCAACGGTCCTTAACACCAGTCCTTTTGAGATTTTTTAAAAACTAATATATAAATATATAAAAGAATGAAGTAGACAATTATTTTAAAAAGTATCCCGAACTTCCATTTTGTTGCAAAAATAAATGATCGTAAAAGGAAAAAAAACCAGTTAAATTATGACACTGTAAACATTTTGCTCAACTTCAACGTTTTTAGCCTTCTTTAAGTGATCAAATGAACGTTGTTTAAATACAAAATATCTTATCTTCTTTCTAATAAATGATTGACTCCATTTGTGCTGAATATTGGTTTTAAAGTCGAGCCACACATATCTTTAGAATATTTTATTTATTTTTCTTACATTAATTTTACCATCGATGACCACAAACTACTGTCATGATATTATTTCGATTTCTTTGTCATAAAACTGTTAACACCGCATAAAAAATTTCTCTTATAGTAGTCTCTGTTATACCATTTCTGTACATTCAGTGTACTCTATGGATAGAGGAATACATAGAGTTAAACATAGTAAAATAAGAAATTAAAAGATTTCGTTAAAATTGTTCGTTTGGAAATTTCCCGAAAAGCTAATTGATATTATTTCGATATTATCTCGGTTAACCAAGCCCCGAGGACAGTTTTCGGGGTTTACCGAGATTTTTTAACCAGTTAAAAAGTTCAAAATTTAGGACCAAAATGGTCTTTCACTTATAACAAATACTTAGACTAGGCCCTTTTTATTTTCACCTGTCCTTTGTGCATTTCTACCTATGGATGTATTTTTTTTAACGAGCAAGGTCCTATAATTGCATTAGGGGACCTAAATCGTTAAAAAAAAAGCAACCACAAAGACCAAACTTGTTAATTTCTTAAATATGGTCGGGATCCGGTAAAAACACCAAACCTCAAGAAGAAATGCAATTCACTTTAATTGTAATGAAAACAGAACAAAGGTGAAATGTTTAAGCAATTAAACCTATTCCAATAAATGTTGCCTGCTAACAAGTATACATACACCAATTCAAAATTTGTCACCGGGATCTCTCTATGAACTACAAAACTGAAGCAGTTGGGACTAATGCTACAACAAACAAAATTTAAGATTTCCATCTAAAAGAATAGAAATCAAAAGAATACAACGACGATCTTCTTTAGCATAATTCAGCGCTTCGACTTGAATCCAATCCTGCGCTTCTTGAATGCTTCCATTTCAACGCTCTCTTTTAGTTTCTCCAAAGCTGTGACAGCATAAAATAACGAGGTTTAGCCACAAGAAAAAGTCTCCAGTGCATAACCACGAAGTTGAAACTCACGAATCGAAGGTGAAATAGATTTACAGAATAAAGATGTTGAAAATTGCAGATTTATATGTATCGGTGCCAAGAAAGTAAAGGGTTGCAAGTCAAAACAGCAATTACTCAAAACTCCTGCTTTGATCAAATAATGTTTTGCTATGAATATCTACTGGACCATTATATCCCATACAGAGTAGGGTCTGGGGATTGGAAGCATACAGACCGCTGCCATTACCCACAGGTGTAAAGAGAATTAAAGGTGCCCTGATGTTTTCATATGTAATAGTAGACACTGCTACCAAATATTCCCATATCCACGAAGATCACAACAATTCTCATTTTGGAAGTTTAAGGTATAATTATCTATTGAGCACCATTACAAAAATTGATGATTTTGTGATAGTATGTGGAACTACATTAGATTACTCTCCAAAGGAGTCATTTGAGGAGAAAATAAAGGGTTCATTAAATATTGAGAAAGGTTCCAACTCTAGCCGATGTGGGACTCTAAACACACCCCCTCCAATTGGCACAGATTGTCAGTCATGAGGGGGCTACACGGCTGAGGGGGTTAGACAGTAAAGAATACCCCGTCCCTGAAGTGGCTCTGATACTATGTGAGAATATATGAAATCCCATTAGATTATGAGGAGAGAAGAAAGGTTCCATCATATATTGAGGAAAAAGGTGTTGGTCTATAGTCAAATGTCTTGGATAGCCTTAAATACCAACAAAAAAGAAAAAAACCTTTTGGACCAAAATTTATATCGTAATATTCTTATAATGCAAAATGGGCAAATATGTGAATTTTGTTTGAATTTTTTTTCCCAATAGATAAAGCAACATTAATGGAATTTGTTGCAATTTCTTTTGGATACAAAGTAGAATGATGCATTAGAAGTTGACTGGTAAGTGACCTACATACACGTTCTAGGATGTGCATAGCTTTAAATAAGAGCAAAATACATCAAAATGCAACAAAGGTCGGTTTAGTTCTTATTTAGTGTAATGAATTTTTTTTCTCAATCAACGTAACAAAGTTTCAAAATTTCCTATTTTGTACCCATTTTGATCGGTAACCTGCTAATCTTGGAACATTTGATGCAATAGATACCCATTGACGAATGGGTTATGGCGAAGCGGAAGAAAAACTTTACATCCACGTCACTAAATGTTACAAGATCAACAACTTACTGATAAAAATTTGTGAAAAAAGTTTAAGAAACTTTGTTACATTAAAAAGAAACTTTTGAAACCTTTTTACATTAACTGAGCGGAAAAAAATCATGTGCAACTCTATAGGAACCAAGGCAAACTTCTTTACATTTTGATGCATTTTATCCTTAAATAAATGAAGCTCACATGCATTCAGCTCTACTCTTCTAGTCTATATATTGGTGGAAAATTACCAGAAGCATAGATCGATCGGAGGGACTCTATTGAATCCGATGGGACTGTATGAACAGGACATGAGTCAATGTCAGCTTTCTTTAAGAGCTTCTTGAACCCCTTGATCTGAAAAGCATACAAGAGTCACCCAAAACATGCATGAAATAGTAGTACCATGTCAAAAGACGTTTGTACACTTGTTGAAAAAAAATTATCCAGCAAACGTTAAGCATTTTCTTCAATGAGATAATGCACCAACTGGGTTTTTTGGGATACGAGTCAAAATTTAGCGATAAGCCAAAAAATGAATGTAAGAACTGAATCCTATCCGATTGAAGAATTGAAAGAGGAATACAAATGTATTGTCCCCAAATCCCATGCCCCCTTCCTGTCCCACCAATCACATGGAGATACATAATTATTTTATTGAATATAAATTTATAATTTCATTTTATATACACTTTGTGGTGATGTGTCTTTGTGTGATTGGTTGACAGGATGGGGACATGGGATTTGGGGACAACGTATTTTTATTCATGGAAAGAGTACCTCATCTTCATGTAACAAGGTGAAGCAGCGCCCAGAATTCCCTGCTCTTGCAGTGCGACCAGCACGATGAATATATGTTTTGATATACGGAGGCTTATCGTAGTTAATTACATTTCTAACCCCTTCAACATCCATTCCACGAGTCATTGCATCAGATGAGACAACAACTTGTATTCCACCTTCTCTGAACGCCCTCAACGTCTTGCTGCAAAACCAAACTTTCTAACCTCAATATTGTAAACTACTCCCTCCATCCTAGAATAAGTATCCACATTTCTATTTTAGTTTGTCCCGAAATAAGTGTCAAGCTTTCTAAAGTAAGTGCCTCGTTTCCAATTCTACCCTTACTTATGAGATGGAGAATTTCATTACTTCCTCTACTATTAAGGGTAGAATTGTCATTTAGTTACTTGAAATGTAATAATTACACATTTCTAAAGTTGTATGCCTATTTTGGGTCGAGTTTGCATACATCACACCTCACCTCCCCCAGTCCCCACCTCCAGGGGTGGGATATACTGGGCTTGTTTGTTTGGTCCTTGGTTTTAAAAAGCGCGATGCGGTCCGAGGCGGTAAGGGTCCCGGAAGCCGATGCGTGATGCGTGATGCGTGATGCGGATGCGCTCGCATCACGCACGTGATGCGCCCGGTATTCAAAAAATACTTATAAATGAATTGTACATATCAATTTCTACCTTAAAAACACTTACCTATCAAAATACTTCATTTATAACATAAAGTAGTTCAAAAAGTGGCATTAGAATCTTAAAAAGTTCGTAAATCGGAATAACAAAACACACAAACTACTACCATGAAGAACACAAGTAAATATCTAATAGTCCCCAATCCCTAAACTATTTCAGGTTGCGACTTCTGCTTCTTCTATTTCAGGTTGCGACTTCTGCTTCTATTATATTAGGTCACAACTCACATATATGTTCTTAATCTGATATGCGACTTGAGACTTGAGAGGGGATTCTATTTTATTAGGTCATTATTACGTTCTATTTTAATCTACAAAAGCCCAACTAAAAACCTCTAAAGAACGAAAAAGGAGTCCAAACATGAAACATACAGGATGCACTGATGCACGCATCGTGTGATGCATAGGTGATGCGACCGCATCAGAGAGCATCATGGAATCGCTTCGCATCAGCCCCTCTGATGCGTTACCTCCAGCGCATCGGAGCGCATCACGCATCGGAGCGCATTATGCGCGCATTTTTAAACCAAACTGTGGTCTATATTTGTAGATATATTTTCTAAGAGAGAGTACTTTTTACCAATGGCCATAATTAAATAGGTATAGAATTCAAGTGGCCTTTAGCACAATTCTAATAGCATATCTCTATAATCTTAACAATCTACCAATTCCTGTCCATTGTTTCAAAGTGAATCTTCATGAATCTCTATATAAATATAAATGGTTGGCATTTAATTCTTACATACCAATTATCATATATTAATAATTCATAATGAAGGATTATGTAATCTTTGCTTTTAAGGCCATCTATAATGTATCTTTGGAGTTTAGAGGATACATTATCATCTCCAACCCACCTCTATATTTACAAGAATTTTTTGAGCAATGAATACTAATGCTCTTCGAGGAACACTATTAATTCCTCTACGCATTTTAATTTTTTACTTCAACCATTGTGGTTATCATATTTTGATCAATTTACATAATTTGTTATATACATCAGAATGTAAAATTTATTTTACACAAAATATATAATTTGTAAATCTTATTGAGTCCTTCAAAATGAGCCAACTATTGAATATGACATTTAATTTATTTTCAATATTCATTGATAATTGTTATTAATGAGTGTTATAATTATTTATTTCTTGTTCCAATAATATTAATTATACATGTTAAATATTACTATCATGTTTTTTTCTATCTTCTTCCAACACATTTTCTACTTCCCTTCCTCCGCAATGCATAAATGCTTCCTAGAAAGCCTCAGTCAAATTAGGACATGCATCTAATAACTATGGAAGATATCCGAGCAAAAATTGTGAATATTTCCTTCTTTTTCTTCTTCAGTCAAAAGATGGTGTGCTCACAAGATTTATGGAAATTCACCAAAAATCGGAAAATATAAATCAAGCTCCCTGTTTCACTAGACCGAGTTATGATTGAAAAGACCCACAACAAAATTTGAAGTTCTGGGCATCTATACTTTTTGAAAGAAATTGAGCAAATCAGTTTATAATCCATTCAGCTTCCCCACTTTATATACATATGAATCTACCATGAATCAGAGGCATGTAATATGTTCAATATTTGAGAAGATGAACAAGCTAAAGGTTGAAAAAGACAACTCAAAACTTTCTTAAATAAAAAATGCTCACAACTGATAATAAATGGATTAAGGTCACTCACCTTCTCACAGTTTGATGTTGATGACCAGAATACTCCTTGATCTTGATCCCCAAATCTCCAAAAAATTTAAGCAACGTGCATAGTCTGTGAGTTGACTCGACTGATGATGTAAAAACAATGCACTTCTCCCCTTGTAAACTTTGTAATAGAGCAACCAGGTAAAGAGGCTTCAGCTTTGGTTCACATATCTTCATAGAAGAATGAAATTTTGGTTCGTAAAAATCAGATAAATGTTATAAACAGTTATATGTGGTACTAGTAGAAGCTTGATGTCATTAATTAGGTTGTTGAAGAAAGCATATGGTCTTTAAAATCTATGCTGAAAAACCGCCAATCCAATATATCATCTCAATGTAAAGACTGAACTACAATAATTTCACTTTTTCAGTTTAAAAGGAGATAGAGAGCTTCAACTTTGATATTTTATATGTAAACCATGATGCCCAAGAGGGCGCATGTGTATGAAGTTCTAAAAGATTGTAATGCTGCTTATCTTTGCTACATTATAAAGCATTTAGGTAAACGTCTCAAGTATAACTTTTTTAAGAGCTCAAGTATAACTTATTAAGCATTAGATACGGCTTAGTAATGCATAAATCCCTTATATTTTAAGTTTACAAGTAACTATTGCACAAGTATAGTTTTCTAGAACTTTGTAACCTTCATAAAACGAACAAATAACCGATTGATAAACATAAAAATAGGACGTGTTCAACCACTTGTAATTTCTACATAATTCAAACATAAATTTCGGGTTTTCTTTTTTGAAGAGAAACTAATTTTCCATTTTCAGTTTTACGATAAAATCTTGCATCACACAGGTACATAATCAGTGATGGATGATGTAAATCTAGGAAGTCATGAGAGCATACCAACTTGAATGACTCCAGATGTTCCGGAAGCTGATATCGTATCTGCCCAGTAGTCAAGAACAACGGATGGTGCAGATCAAGTTGAGCAAGCTTGCTTGGATCTTGGGTTAGGGTAGCAGATAAAACCATCTTTACGAGCCTTGGGTATGGTTTACTCTTAAATCCCCGTTCTACACCTCTGCAATAATTTAGTTGATTCTAAGCATAATTTAAGAAAAGCTATAAAGATGCTCCGTTGTAAAAGTATTTATGCATCTGCATTTTCCATTTCCATAATTAATCCATTGAAAGAAATATAACTTTCAATAGATCCATGTTCCCTCACGACCCCCTTTTATGAGATGAACTTATCAAACTAGGACTCAATTCTATTTCCCAATATAACCTCCTTCATTTCTGATGCCAAGATATGTCAACAACTTTAAAAGCAAAAGACGTCACAAAATATGTGTATGCATATGTATGTATGTGTGTATACACGTGTGATTAGATGATACTCGCAATAAGTAGTTCATGTGGAAGCAGAGAGAACACTTAAGGTGTAAAGAAGGATGGGGCATACAAAGGTGTGTTCTTTTTCCCCATAATACTACCCATTACATGTAATCCCAAATCCCCTATCCACACACACTAAATACGAACAAAAAGGAGACTGGTAGATGAGAAAACAAGATTCGCTTTTTGAGGCTTCCTCTACCCACATCTCTATGTGCCCGCAGCACTTCCATATGGAGAAAGATAGGCTTACCATGTTCCATCAATAGCACCTAACCTATGCCGATTTTGGCGGACCGTGCTCCACCCCGATGAACTCATGCGGTTCCGACGTGCCCAGAGGCCGGAGGCGAATCCGTTCAAAGTCCGTAGGACCAACACCATTCGAAGGTGGGCGGCCCACCCCGCCAAAAAACTGTGGGAACAATCACTTTTAACAAAGTGAAAAAAATATTCGACATTGATTCTATTAGCAAACATTGACAATATGCAACCAATACTATCCAGCTTCCACCCTATTAAACACTAGAACATACTCCTCACATACAGGTATCCAATGAAAAATGACCCAGCAATACAAAACAGAAAAATGGCACTTACAGTCTCCTTATAGTCCTCAAGGAACCAAATATAGAAGGAACAGGGTTGTTGGCATAAGCAAAGAGGCCATCAACACTTGAACTGGTGAACTGAAGCACTGTAGGAAGCCATGACTGATATGATTCCCTGAGCAATCGATCAGTCTCATCAACTACCTGAATTACAAAAATGCCACCATAAATTTCTAAACAAGATAAGCATAGCTAAAGAATATTTGAAGTGCCATCTGATCATTACATACAGACTCATTGTCTCTGTCTCATATATAATGAATTACTTATGTTTAATCCCCCAAGGGGTGGCCAAGTTGGCAAAACAACTTGGGTACTTTTTATAGAGTACAAACTCGGGTTCAAACCTCTTGGTGTTATAAACACTGTTTGTCGGCCACACCAATCGAGTGTCTGTTGGTGGACTCAAACTCCATGGACTTAGTCAGCCAAAGGTGGGATACCAAGGTTACCACAAAAAATGGATATGTTTCCCACCAAAGTAGCATCTTACCGGACATAGTTATCCCGTTCACAATACTTTTAAGGACCTAGAAAACCTCATACAAAGCTGATAACACAACTTACCAGAAAACGGAGATGCTCAAGTGTAAAACCTTTGGTGTTGTTAATATGATCCATCAGCCTTCCAGGTGTTGCCACCAATATATCTATGGCACTTTGCAACTCCGTGGAATGATGTTCTGGGTCATAACAGATGCCTGCCTCCAATTTTGGTCTCTCAATAAGCATTGAAATTTCATCTGCTATTGAGGATTGGCCTACGGCCAAACCAACAGATAAGCCCACTGCAGGTGCAATAGTGGCAAAAACATCCCTAACCTAAATAACGTAAGAATACAAATTCATGAAACAGCATACTAACAACATTATAACACAATTTCCATCGAAAATGAACATAAGAAATAACTTCTCTTTCCATCTCAGTAAGTGTACTTGTTGGTCATATCATGTTAAATGCCATCTTTCTGCTTTTATTAATAAACACTTGATTGAACGACACTAAGAGTCGCGTGAGGAAAAGTACAATCATTAGCAAAGAACCACCGGCTTGAATGCATTAAAGAGAAAGAGATAGTGGCTAAGAGCCTCAAAATGTAATTGCATGCTTTCTTCATAGCTTTATCGGCATTATCAAAGCAATTGGCACTCCTTATCCCCTGCCCCTTCTCCCATCTCATTGAGAACCTAACCTTAAATTAAGTATTATAGGCTACAACCAACGCATATATTAAAGCAAGTCTATCTATGACATATTTGTAAAGAACAATATGTCTAACCTGCAAAGCTAAATCACGAGTCGGCAAAACCACTAAAGCTCGAAGACATTTGACGGCACGATTTGAAAGGCTTTGTACAATTGGCAGTGCATAGGCTAAGGTTTTCCCACTTCCAGTGGGTGAATTCACACAAAGGTCTCTCTCAAAGGAACCAGGTCCTACAGTCTCTTGCCAAACTGCCACTTGAACAGGAAAAAGTGAAACAATTCCACTACTGCACAAAGCAGCTTCCAACCTAAGGAAATATTCAGACAAATAGGAATTAGCAACAAGGTATACAAGATGGAACACAAGAATAAGCAAATAAGAAGAAGATCATTAGATATGGCATGCTCAGCTAGAATGAAAGGTTATACAGAGTTCAGTAAGCTTAAAACAAATCAACCTTTATCCTCTAAATTAACATGTAATTAAGAACACCAATTTCGTGAACATTATCTACATTTTGAGTTTTAACTGTCAAAGGAGTTGCTTCATTGACTTCAAAATTTAACAAGAAAACGAATTTACTTTCGATTATCAAACTAAATACCACAATTCAACAAGAAAACAATACATTTTGATACTGGTTAACTAAAACTAATTTTAATTCTGTAAACAGAAGTTTCTAATTTGCAAAATTAGGAAGCCGAACTCTTTGGACCAAAATTTGCAGAGAGGGTTCCTTATAGCGGGACGAAATGGGAATAAGACAGCATATTTACGCGATTAAAAAGCATATGATATGGATTAAACAAACGAATGTACAAATAGAATCAGTGGGACGTGTAAGTACCTTGGGTGGAGAAAGGGAAGTTGAGTAAGAGGACACTTCTTAAAGGAACCAACATCAACTGGGCTTCTCATCCATGGCAGCACTGCTACTTTCTTTCTGGCAATCTTCTGCTCTCTTGCTTCTTCTTCCATGGTAACAACTTAGAGAGATGATTCTGTTGTTGATTTTGCAGTTGGGAAAAGATCACAAAAGATGGTGAACGTCTGAAAAACGATGCCCTGAGAAGAGAATCAGTCACACCTCAAGCCCAATTTTGTTTGGATCACGTGGCGACCCAAAAATCTTTGGGTATGTTCTTGTGGCCCAAATTTGAGGCGTGTAAATGATAAAATAGCAACCTATTTTTATAAATTTTTTTATTATAATATTTTATTTTTATTTTTTTATTATAGTAATGTATTTTTAAATTATTTTTTATTAAGACATCGTACTTTAAAAAATCTACCCATTATAGTATTAGGTAACATGTTACCTTTTAAACCGGTTAACCCCTTGACTTTTTTGTTTGTATGGCTTTAATGAGGTGATGTGGATGACACATCATTTTGATCATTTTGATGACTTAACTAAAATAAAAATAAAAACCTATTTCAAATGATTATTAGTGATTTTCATTTTTCATTGTCATGATTTAAAAAAACATTTAATTTTTTTGACTTTTTCTTATTAAGTTGCATATAAATTAAATATTTTAGAATAAAATATTTCTTAAATAAATATGATACATTATTTTTTAGATATATTTTGTTTGTAAAAAAAGTAACACTTCTTATTTTATGTTGTTCAAAAAAATATATCTTTTAAAGTTCTTTCTAAAATGTTAACGAAATAAATTATGATCTACGATTTTTTAATATTGTTATATTAATCAATAATTTGAAAAATCTAATTGATTTAATATATTAATATGTCAAGTGAACAAATATAATATATTCTTTAAAAGATAATATTTTTTTGGTAAAAAAGAAACAATTCTTATTTTCTTTTTTCAAAAAACACATATTTAAAAAAAATATTAGCGAGATAAGTTGTCTTCTGCTAGTTTTATTAATATTAGTATATTAATGAACAATTTAGAATTTTTTTGATTCATTTAGTATATTTATTAAATAACATGAAAAATAACTAAATATTAAAATTAAAAATACATTGTTCAATAAGAACTAATAGATGTTATAATAAAATAATTTTGAAAGTACAATGTTGTGACAAGAAAGTCACTTCACTATAGTATATGTAGACAACCTACGCAGACAATAAGGTGACATGAAAACCTGGTATAATGGGTAAATTTAAATAAAAAGGTTACCCAATGCTATAATGGGTAAATTTTTCAATATACAATGTCCTAATATAAATAGTTTGAAAGTACATTATTGTAATAAAAAAAATTAAAAGTACAATGCTATAATAAAAAATTTTATAAAAATAGATTGTTATTTTATACAGTTTACCCTTTAATTTATTATATAACTAAATATCTCGATTTGAAATGAAATTTTATTAAAAATTCATGACTTTTTTTAAGTGTATTGTCTTTTTTTTATTTAATAGGTTAAGATAGATCATAAATTTAAGTAAAATCTCATTTAAGTCTATAGCGAAGTAACGTGTGAGGATGAGAATTAAGATGAGAAGCATAATAAGGGGCATGTATCCTTAATCACAGTTAATCTCAAAATCACCCATGAATCCTGTTTGATGTGGGGATTGATCTAATGCATCTCGGTACATCTCATCCTAATGTGCATCCAATGGTGGAGATTTCTTCTTACGTTTTTCATTTTAACTTTCTTTCTCACCGGAACCTAGTCCTAAGATTATATACCTAAATAATGCACAGAAAAAATGACTTCATACTTATTAGGTCATAGATTTAACTAAAATATCTCATTTAATAAAGTCTTTGATTTAGAGATGACTTTAGTCTTCTTTTAAGGAAGACATGAGAGAAAGGTGAGGTTGGGAGGAACAGATATGTAGTTAATCAGAGCTTGGCGCAGTTCGAATGGGAGAAACGATCTAGGTATAATGTTACTTGTTTTGATCTTAGAGGAGTTAATTCCAATTGTGTCATGTAGTTAATTTTTTCATCTGATTTGGTTATTTTTCTGTTCCAAATAGATTAGAATTTTTTTTTTCTTAGTTTAATGTTTTGATTTAATCATTTTGTTTTATTCTGATTGTATCTACATACCCTTTTTCTATTTGGGTTGCTAACTCAACGGTAGAGTACTCAGGGTTTAAGTGCGACTACGATCATTTACACATTTAGATGAAGTGAAAGATTCGCTCATCATAGCATTCACCGCTAGCTTAACAACGTAAGGAAATGGGATCTTAACTTTGTTTCGCCAAATCGGCTTGTCTAGATTAATATTCTCATCGTCTCGTTCTACATTTGGACCGAAAAAGACTTTCAAACCTTTAGGCTGTGGATTGGGGAATAACATTTGTACTACAAACTGCTCCTTATTAGATGTTTAAAACTTATCTTCTAGATCAGTGTTTCTCTTGATTAACAATTAGGGGCCGATTAAGGAACTCTCTAATATTAAAATTAAAGGTCAATCTCATACTTTTTTCATTCATAAAGTAGTTTCAGATTCCCCTTGGCAAGATTCACGTGTCGCTAAAATTGTTGGTTAAGTGTTGGGATGACTATGAGATTCCTTCTGAGTGGCCAAACTCATCAGAATGTGGATTTATGAATAGCGGGGGAACTCTTCTGCCAACAAAATGGTTTCTCAGATAAGGTTGTTGTCGTCGACGATGAAGTTGGATGACGATGCGATGATGAACTTTTTCTTCCATCTCAATCCTTAAACCCCGACTCCCAATTGCCAATTGTTTATTCAAGATCAATAACTTCATTACCATATGTAAATCCATCTACAGTATGAGTATGAAGAAAAAATACAAATGAAGCAAACAAAATAACAAATAATATGATGAATTTTTTTTAACAATAAGTAATTTTACCTGAATCACCACATTGATATGCTTCTGTATCTCCTAATCAATTGAAGTGTGTGGTGCCGCTATCCTCCTCCCTTGTTACAATTCGTCTTCCTCATCTCATCTCCCTCTTCTCCAAACTCCAAATTTAAAAACCTAGCCACCACCATCGTATTTCCATATATGGATCTGGTGATGAAACAAAAATACGATAAATACAAGTGTCAATAAAACCACACAAATTGAAGGGGATTTGGTCACAAATTCTATTCTAGTAGCGTTTCCCATATCTGGATTTTTGGGTTTGGATCTGAAGAACAGAGGATGTTTATGTTTTCTAATAATGGTAAATTGACCATAATGTCCCTCATTTAAATATATTTAACGGAAAAAGCTAATGGTCGTTAGACAGAGAGCACAACACCGTTGTGAAATGACAACGTGAAGAACCAAACTTGAGTTTTTCAAAGTTAGGGACGATATCCATTGAAATTGACCAACATTAGAAACCAAATGTGAAAATTCCTCTAAAAAATGAAATTAAAGCTACCACTTACCAATTTTCTATTAATAAATAGTTATAACAAAGAGCAAGTTGCATAAAATGTAACATATTATGATTTGATTTCAATTTATTTAGAAAACATATTTTGGTATTTCAAATATATTATCTCAGACATTTAAACTAAAATATTGTACAAAAATATAAACCAAACTAAAATACATTATATTTTCATACATTTTGAATATTTAAACCGGATAATTTAATGTCTTGAAATTTCATATTTAAATACCAAGATAAAGATTTTAAACTATATATCATAAAATACAGAGAAAAGTTAAGAAAAACTCAATGAATTTTCTTGTTTTAAATGATTAAGTTATAATACTATAAGAATAACAGAAATTGTAATTTACAAAAAAAATGGAATGTGATTAATAAAATACGAGCTTCACCAAACAAAAAGGGGATATCACGTTAATTACAATGCAAATAATGAGTTTAATAATTAACAACGTCCTAATCTAACTTACTTTATCATCATATTACATTCGGGTGTTACTACAACCACCAAACGTATCTACCATCAAAGCTCGCTTAGGGCTCCAGAAATGCTAACTCGCACCAATGCCTCTATCAACACCCATCTCAAATGCCCTTAGGCCCACCACTACGTGTTGACAAGAAAAAATGTTAGTCTTAAAACTTAATGAGTTCAAACAGTTTGATAACCAGTTATAGAATAATTAGCTCAAAAGTAATAATCTTGCAAGTGTCAACGTTATTAAACAACCAGTTCTTGTAAAGACACCAATACGTCAAAGTACATCTTTTGATGACTGGGAAGCCCGATTTCTACTAGCAGTGACAGAACACAAAAGTAAGGCATGTGTCTATAATCTCGCTACAAATCAGTGGTCATCCATTTCGACTATGCATGGTCTATGGCACGAGACCCCCCCCCCCCAATACTTCTATGTTTTACTTGTTCACTTACAAATTCCACCCTAATGCCAATGGCTGGTGTTTGCTTCCATATGAATTCCCACCTCAATGCCCTTGATGACCCGGTGCCTATTTTCTAACAACAAAAGTGAGAATGATAATTCCTCAAAGGACAATAAAAAAAAACGACTCATATGACTATAGATCCAACACAAAGCGATCTGATATTCATGACTTGACGTTAGGATGCCCACCCACATCCAAAACATGTAGTTTCCAATTATATGAAATTTACGCAACCAAGTTACCATTTAACTCATATGGGGAAAAAACATTTGTTCTACAAGACTTCAACCACTTTCCTGAACATTTTATCCCCTCACAAGAATCATGTAGCATATTTATCCGTTTATCAAAAAAGGGCCATATAGGGTAGCAAAACATTTCATCAAGATTAATCATCTTCATTTTCTTAAAAAGAAGCAATATTACTAAAACGATTTTTGCACCATAATACATCAAATGACTCTGAACTCACAATATATAGATAGGGGTTTCAATCAAAAGAGGACCACAAAAAGGTTGAGAATCGTGAAGACCAATCTAAGCCTTAATTTGGTTTGATCATATGGTTTTAATTGAAAGCTATTTTTAGTTTTAAAAAAATGGCATAATCGTCATTTTAGTAACAAGATTCACCAAATGAAACATATAAATTAATTCACCATATGAAACATATAGATTCATCATATGAAACACATACTCACCATGCTACATGAAACAAAACACAA